ACTTTGCGTGCAGCTTCGCGGCGAGGCCAAGCGTCGACTTATACGTCTCGCCGTGCTCCGCCGCCACACGCCGAGGGCAGTTGAGGACGTGCCACACCACACGCGAGCCGTCGAGGCCGTTGAAGCACTGGTTGCGCTGCGCCCACTTGGCTGGCTTGTCCTTGTTGAAGGAGACCACGACGCCCTCGCCGTTCTTGCCCCGCCACTCGGCCGACGCCTCATCGTCCGACAGCGTCTTCTTCGGGCACACCGCGTTGAGCGTGTTCTCCATCACGAGCTCGTTCAGCTCGGACGTCTTCGCCATCTTGTCGTAGCCCACAGGCGGCGGCTGCGTCATGTCGCCACGGGGAACCAGCTTCGATGGATCGCAGTCGTAGAGGCAGCGGATGCCCTGCGCAAAGTCGTTCTCCGACATGATGACAGAGATGCCGGGGCAGCCGACGAACTTGCCCTTGCGCCAGTAGTACTTGCGGGCGGGCAGGCGGCAAATGGACATCGCCGTGATGATGACGTGCAGTCGGATCAGGAAGGGCACCGACATAGAAGGTGCCTTGCGCTGCTTCCCCTTGCTGCCGTCGGCGCGATTCTTCATCTTCGGCTTGCGCGAGACGGCGTCCACGGTTCCAATCTTCAGGTCGCGGACGCGCTGTTTGCTGTATTTCGAGACGAGCTCCCAGCATCGAATGTCCCACTGCCGGTTGAACAGCTCGACATTGATCGGTCCGTGGTTAGGCAGCGGCTGCTGCAGCCCCTCCGACACACCGGGTGGCAGCTTCCGCGCGAAGACCTTTGGCTTGTGGCTTGGGACGGCGCCGGTGGCCTTTCTCCAGACGATGTTGTCGACGGCGTGGGGCGTTTTCCGCGCCTCCGCCGGCTGCCATCGGCTGCCTTTGACCGAGCCGCGAGGCTCATCGACACGCCGGCGTGCGGCTGGCGCTCGCCTCGCGTTTGCACCACCCTCCGCCTCGTCCCCATCCTCCACGTCCGAGTCGTCGTCGCTCTCGTCTGGGTCCTCGTACCAGTCTGACTTGGGATCGAGCGCCTCGTCGTCGGATATGAGCCACTGCTTCACCACTGCCAGAGGCGCGAAGGCGTCCTCGCCGTAGCCGCCCTGGTTGAACTTGATCCAGAGCATGGACTTTTGAGACTTGTGCAAGCTCTTGACTCGCGCCAAGTAGCGAGCACCCTCGACGTTTACGTTGAAGAAGCTGCACGGCACGCCAAGGTACCTCCCAACAAGCCCAGAGCGAGGATCGGGCGCAGGTCGTTGTTTTGCCTTGCGCTTCATTCTCTACCGAAGGGTGCTGCGGGAATCTAGGGAATCTGAAGGAATCTTAGATTCTCTCTCCGAGATGCGACTCCGGAGTCAAGCGGCTGGTGGTAGGCGGCACAGCACCCGGGCCGTCAAAGCGGGTCGCCGGATCGGCCGACTTCGCTCCTTAGCCGACCGGTTTTCTCTTTCACACAACACTGGGCACGGGACTGGCATCTCTTTCACAGAATTGGGCGAAGTTCCCATATGGGAACCACAGCCGTTTAGGGGTTAAGGTAGAGCTGAGCGTCCAAGACGCCTCGGTGCCTCCCACCGGCGTGAAGACCATCCGGATCTATCGAGCTCGCCTCCGGCGGGCCGTCCCCGCGATGGCCCACGGTCCTCCGTCGCCTGGTTGACCCCCTGCCTCCCGGTTGACCCCCGGTCCTCGTAGTCCATCATGAAATAAACTCAAAGTCCACCACAGCCTCCAGCCTCCACCTCCACCCGCGAGCCGCCACCGCTGCCGCCCGCGACGCCGCCCGCCGCGTCAGACTGCCGCGACGCGCGCCTCGAGTCGAGTCGGAGAGCCGCGCCGCACCAGCAGGAGCATCTGCACCACCAGCAGCAGCAGCACCACCACCACCACCACCCGAGAGAGAAGCGCACCTGCCCGACGCCGCCCGCCGTGCCAGATGCTCGCGACGCGCTTGTCGAGCCGAGTCGCAGAGCCGCGCCGCGCCAGCAGCAGCATCTGCACCAGCAGCACCATCACCACCAGAAGCAGCACCAGAGAGAGGCACTGCATGGTGACAGCAGCGCAGAAGCGCTCGCAGAGCGGCGCGCAGCGCCGCGCACGCCACGCCGCGGGCGGTCTGACGAGCGCAGCGTACGTCGGCCGCGAGCCGCGTCGCCAGCCGTCTCGCGAGAGAGCGGCGCCGCCGCGAGCGCGCAGCAGCCGCCACGGCAGAGGCGAGCCGCGGCGACGTCCGCTAACGGATAACTGCCATTGGCGGTTTCACACACACACACACACACACACGGTGAGTCTTGTCCAGGTCTTGTCACGATCAAGTCCGCCATTTACGCTTTACCTTTGACGTCACCATCTTGCACAGCTTGCTCCCTCGTTTGTCTGATCCCGAGGCACGAGGGTCGTCGCTCGTCGTCGGTTGAAAAAAACTGTTCCTGTTACGAAAAAGGGAGCTACTGCTCCGGCGACACTAGGGACTCGGGCCTGTGGCCGAGATTGGCCGAGATTTGCCGAGATTGGCCGAGATTGGCCGAGGTGTGCCAAGATCGGCCGAGGCTGGCCAGAGATCCGCCGAGAGCGTCCCTCACTCGCCTCTTTCTGTGTAGGGTCTTTGAGTAGATGCTTGACTAGTCTCACGCTCGATTCAGATTCAGAGAGATCCACTGGCTGCTACCAGGACCAGCTCTGGGCGCACGCCAGATGGGCAGGTTGATCGATCCACTCGTGGTCAATCTTTCAGTTGCCTCGCGCGACGCATGATGATTTCGGCCGATGTCGTCGATGGGGCAACAGTGGTCGATTGACGACGGTTGGAGAGTGCTCTTCGACGTCGAAGCAGCAGTCCGTATGGGCAGGATCTTCAACTCGTTCAGTTAAAATTTTGGTCACGACGAAGCAGCAATCAGGTCGGCAGCTGCTATCGTTTCGTCGACAGTGGCAACGGTGTTTGACACTGTTGATGAGTGCAACTGTGGCGTGCTTGCCACCCAAGCGAGTGTAGGCCCGACTCGCGTCGGGTGCTATTTCCTCATCGTCATCGCTACGGCGGGGGCGGGGGGGTTTTACCGGAGCACCGGACTACTCGCTGGGACAGTTGCGAGATCGGTCAATAATCACGATCGGTCGCTCGGGCGCATGGTCGTGCGACGTCAGCGACCCAACCGCCAGTTGCCCTTATCTTTGACTGTGATTCAAGGAGGTCTATGCGTGGGGTTCAGCTGAGCTTAGGCCGTTCCGGGCGTCGACCTTCCAACATACCACATCAAAGGCCGAGCGTGGGGGAGGCTCAGCAGCCCACCACCAGGGAGGTTTCGTCAGTCTCGGCGTCGCATCTGCCGCGCCGAGATTCGACGGACCGAAGGGGTAGAGGCTAGCGCTCTCTGTCGAGAGACGCGCATTACTCAAGACAATAATTACTACATCATGCACGACCTCGAGCGTGCAACGCCGCACAGTGCTCAGGGTTCGAGCAGGTGCAGGCGAGTGGAGGGGCCCCTGGCAGAGGAGGCGTGAATCCTTTAGGATTCTCGCCCGCTCTGCTGAGGGGAGGGGACGGTCGACTGGGCCGGTCGCTCGACCCGATTCTACTCTACTCTCAGTCTTACCATTCATGGACAATAGTGTCTGTGACGGCGGTCACATTCACAGCGAGGTCAGTTCACAGCCGAGCCAACGATCCTGACACGCTCCACTTTCACGGCCCCGCCGCGGCTCGAGCAAGGTCTATGGCGATCGACATCTTGCCAGCTGTGGCTTGCCCGTCTACCGCTACCGCGCCTTCAGATACAGTCGCCCCTCCCGCCCACGCCGGCGACTGTCTGAGGTGCAGTTGACATCTGGATGACTGCGCATAATGGGGTTGACCCGCCGCGCAGCAACCCGATGTTCACGATTTAGGTTTCCGTCGAGTGACGAGTCTCGTCCGAGACGTCTAGTCTCATCCCGCCTCGTGGCATACCTGTTCTAGTGTGTCATGGGTGTCCCAGTGGTGTTCTCGTGTGTGGGGGAGGCTCAGCAGCCCACCACCAGGGAGGTTTCGTCAGTCTCGGCGTCGCATCTGCCGCGCCGAGATTCGACGGACCGAAGGGGTAGAGGCTAGCGCTCTCTGTCGAGAGACGCGCATTACTCAAGACAATAATTACTACATCATGCACGACCTCGAGCGTGCAACGCCGCACAGTGCTCAGGGTTCGAGCAGGTGCAGGCGAGTGGAGGGGCCCCTGGCAGAGAGATGCTACACACCTCAAATTTCTCTAGCCTCCTCGTCGCCAGTAGGCCGAGTTCCCCTTCCGCTATGCTAGAGGGGCCTACCTTCGCCCCTTCCACCGTGCCGCCCGTCGTTAGCATGGCCGTCGTTACTTTCGCCGCCGCCTCTGCTGCTTGTCGGCGGAGCGCCTCGCGCCTTCCCTCGTCTCCATGCTCCTGGTCTTGTTCTTTTTGTTTTCCTGCGCTTCCTGTCGCTGGTCCGGCGACGTATCTTGCCGTCTGCCTTCGCTTCCTGGCGGGCCGCGTTTCCTTCCCCTCGTCCCGTCTGTTTTCTCCTGCGTGGTCGCCCTCGCGTGCGCCGCTCGCCGTCTGTTCTCCTCTCTGCTCGCCGTCCTCGTCCCCTCGCTGTCGTCGCTTCCCTCCGGCGCTCGCCGCATCGTCGTTCCTATCACCGCGTTTCCTGCGCTGGCCTTCGCCTTCGAGCTCGCAGTGGGTCGTTTTGAGTGTCATCCCCATCGCTCTCGTCGTTCTGCCTCTCCCCGCTTCGAGGCGTCTCTCTGCCTCTTCCCTTTCCTTCTCCTCGGCATCACGTTGTGGGGAGCCTGGAGTGAGTGTTCGCGACCAGAACTCTCCCTCGGGGTGGTCGACAATGTATCTTGACGCCAGCCTCGGGATCAATCGCTAGGAAAGCAAACTCCGAATAAGTAATAGAACCACACCATCAATCCTCACTGCGCCGCTTACACCGTCATACCGCTGCTGGAGGCGCCGACTGGGCCCGCGAGGCTCTCACGCCCACCCCACGGAGATCGGGACCTCCTTCGCAAAGAAGGTCATCCCGCCCTTCCGCACGGGCAGCGCGTACAGCTTGCCGATGGCAGCCCACGTCTCGTCGTCCGCGACCTGTTCACAGACGCGGCTGTGTGAAGAGGCGCTGTTTGCAGCGGTCGGCGCCTCCTGCACGCTGCCGGCCACCTCAGCCCAGACAGTGTGGTCGTGCGACCAGTGCGTCGCCACGCACCCACCGACGGCGCACCTCGGGGGGTAATAATTAGCCGTGACTAGCCCGGCATTCGCCGAGATTGACCGAGATTTTCCGAGCTCAGCCGCCGGCGCACCTTGCGGGGTCCATGTGGGCGCTGTACACAAAAAAGTCCGGCCCCGCGCTGCCGCCCGCCCACCTGAGTCAACCAATACGCCACGCATGAATGGCATTGCTCCTAAGACGTCGCCGCCCGCCGCCGCCCGCCGCCCACCCCACCATCCCCTTGCCCATCAGAGGGCCGTGGCAGCCGCACTTCGGGTCGTGCGAAGGGCACCTGTTCACAGCCAGAGCCGTGAAGGGGCGCCGTTCACAGCGCACAGCCGCTCCCCGCCAATCCTCATTTGCGTTCGGCCGGGTGGTGTGTTCACAGCTGCGGTGAACTGCGAGCTCGCGTGAGATCTAGGGCTGCGAATGCCGGCAGCGTGTCGGTTCACGACTCGTGCACTCCGCATTCACCACCAGACCTGCCTCCTTCCGAGAGCTAACGGAAGAGCGAGGCATCTTCCTTCCGAGAGCTAGCCGGAAGAGCGAGGCATCTTCCTTCCGAGAGCTAGCCGGAAGAGCGAGGCATCTTCCTTCCGAGAGCTAGCCGGAAGAGCGAGGCATCTTCCTTCCGAGAGCTAGCCGGAAGCGCGAGGCGTCCTTCCGAGAGCTAGCCGGAAGAGCAAGGCATCTAGGCGAACCGCTTTCGGTCGGTGGGCGGAGGCACGCCGTCGGGACAGCCTCCCTTCTCCACCTGTTCACAGCACGCAGCCGTGAAGAGACGCCGGTCCACAGCGCGCGAGCGGGAGACAGCCTCCCTTCACTCCACCTTTGGCGCTGGAGGCTTGCCCGGCGTGCCCCCGCCGCAGTCGATCCGACCCTGCAAGGAAGGGAAGGTACACTTCTCCACACACACGAGGTGGCGGTGGGGACAGGGCCAGCCTAGCCCTCGCGACTCCACGTCTGAAAGACAGGAGCCCCACACGGCATTCCCCACGGCATTGGAAGTGCAACGCCCGGTGCGCGTGGACGAGCAGACCTGCACCAGGAAGGTAAGACAAAGTGAGGTAGGGTCAGGTAAACTTCTCCACGCACGCTGGGGCAAGGGGGGGCAGCCCTCGCACATCTCCACGCCCAGACACAAGCAAGAGCTGGCATGGCATTCAACGTGCAAGGCCCGGTGCGCGTGGGCAAGCAGACCTGCACCAGAAAGTCCTTCTCCGACCGGTACAGGTTGCCCGTGCAGCCGTGCTCCGCCGCGTGCCTGTTCACAGCCAAGCTGTGAAGAGGCGCTGTTCACACACACACACCGGTGCTGCCTTGCTCCGCCGCGTGCCGCACAAACGCGACGCTGCTCGCCGAGTGCTCGGGCAACAGCCTATCAGGGCGGGAAGAGCCACTTCGGGGCGGGAGGACGGTGCTGTGCAGTGTATTCAGAGCAGCTCGTGAACCCACAGAGCCTACCTTAAGGTACGTGCTGATCACACCAGCCTCGGGGCGGGAGGACGGTCTTGTGCAGTGCTTTCAGAGCACCGTGTGAACCCACGGGGCTCCGAATGCAGTGAGTGCAGCCGAGTACGGCCGAACACAGCGGAGTCCGTGTCTCCTGGCTGGAATAAAAGACGGCGTGTTCCGCTTCTAGGGGCAGCAGCCTCAGCCGCAGCTCAACCGGCGCCGACGCATCGCCGCCAGGGACCTGTTCACAGCGCAGAGACGCCGTTCACAGCCGCACCGAGGCATCGCCGCCCGGGAGACGCGTGGCCACAACCTCGCGAGTCGGCTGCATCTCGGCTACATCTCGGCTGCATCTCGGCTGTATCTCGGCTGTATCTCGGCTGTATCTCGGACCGCGAGACGAATGGCCACGACTTCGCGCGTCGGCGGCGGCGGCGACAGTGCGACCGGCTGCGGCGGCGGCGGGTAGAGCACGTCTGGCTCCTGCCAGAAGAAGTAGTTTTTGCCCGGAGCGCCTGCTGGAAGATTCGAGAAGGGTGGAGACAGTTCGTGGCAGGTTCCGGGGCGGTTCTGAGAAGGCTCCGGGAATGCGAGTACGCGGTGCTCTGCAGGGTTTCAGCTGCAGTGTGTTCAGAGCTCGCTTGAGCTCTAGGGCTACGAATGCTGGCCGCGTGTCCTCTCGAGAGCCAGTCGGAAAACCTGCATTCCGAATTCACCCCACCAGACATGTCCTTCCGAGAGCTAGTCGGAAGACGACATGACTTGTCTCCGCATCTATCTAAGACGGAGTGCCGATGTGGAAGAGGTCGGCGCGGCCGGGCGAGGAGGGCGGTCGAGGGAGGCCGCTGGCCAGTCTTGCCTCGTGCTTGATGTGGTGCACGCCTGCGGTGCGGTCATTCGGGGAGAGGCGGTTGCCAGACGAGGCGCAGACTGGTGCCGAGGCGATTGCGTGGTCTGAGCTGCAGCGCCGCACTGCGAGCTTGGTGGGCCCGTATACGTCACGCGGTCTCCGGAAGATGCGATGTGCAAAGGCACGCGCGGTGGTGGGCGACAGGGAGAGAGGGTGAGGCTCGCCCACAATCACGATGAGGCAGCAGATAGCGGCGACGTTGGCCGCGAAGCGAGGGATAGAGCGGCGGCCGCCGAGGCAGCGCAGGAGGGAGTGGCCTTTGTGCGCCGCCTTGAAGGGTGGCAGCTCCTCGCCGCCCATGGAGGTACCGGCACCGGTGGGAGTAGGCGTGTATGCCGCGAATACCGGCCAAACTAGTGAATGAAGAAAAACGTCCCAACGCGAACTCCGAGACCACTACAAGACCACGCACGCATCATCCCGCGGCCTGGCGGTCGGCGGGATTGCAACCAGTCTTCGCGTGCCGCCTGTCGTTCGCTCGGGCGCCTTCGGCGTCGGGGTGGCGAGCAGGGGACGCAGCTCTGAGCGCCCAGCGACGCGTGCCGGATGGAGTCCGGCCGCGGGTGACTAGGGAAGTTCGCTCAGGATGTGTGGCAGTCAGTTCGGCTGAGTGTCTTGTCTTGTGGTTCTGTGTGTCGCTCCTGTGTGACCGTCATCGCCCGTCTAGCGTCCACCCATACCGCGTTGGTGTCCCAGTCGTTGGTCGGACTGTGTTTCGCCTTCCCATCAATCAATCGCGAACTGCACTCCAAGTTCTCAGTCTAAATGTCGACACCAGCCCTTCCCCCGACCGCGTGCTCCCCGTTGCTGCTGGGGGCACCCATCTTGACATCTCCGCAATAGTGCCTGCCGCCCCTGCCAATGTTGTCCGCATATCCTGATATCCACGTCGGGTTGGGTTGTTGTAACTCTGACCGAGGTGGTTTGGCGGCTCGATTCGCACAGCGGTGCCCCACGCGGCGCGTAGGGCGAGGATGAGGCGTCGAAGCGTGTACTTGTGTCTGATGCTGCGGAACATTGACAGCAGCATCGCCGAGACTCGTCTTGGGTCTTCTTGTTTCGAGTCTTTCTTGCCCGCCGCCGCAGCCTGGCAGGCCATGTCGAGGGGGAGACCCAGGCGGCGCTGCACCGAGATACGCATCGCCCCAAAGTCTCCATATTCGCATGTCGTTGTTGTCTCTCCGCTCTCCCTTCTCGACTGTCTGTCGTGCGGCTTGTGGAGTTTTTGTGCGTCCTGGGTCCGGGGGGTTGCGACTTGTGAGTTGTGTGTATTTGTTAATAACAATTTGTTTATTTTTGTTTTTGTTTTGTGTAAGGAATAAAAAGGGGTGGACGCGAAGAGTCCCGTCTCACACTAGCGTTTTGATTCACATGAACACATTGGTCGAGACGTGAAGCGCAACGGCCAACGCGAGAATGTGCATGACAGACTCGAGATGGCATACACCGCCCCCCCCATGGTCCGACCTACAACTTGACAGCTCCACTCCCCCCGCCGTCGATGCGACACATGCACGCATGCGAGCAATCCGCAATGAACACATTCGCCGCCGCTCACCATCCGCTGGGCGCGACATGCCGTCTCCCGCGCACCTAGCTCTACGTTGTGCACGCGGCGATGCGGCGGGCTTCGCTCACGGTGTCCGACCCGACCTACCGGCGTAGACCCCGGTCTCCCTGCTCCTCGCCCGCACCTCGCGCCTCACGCGCAGGGCTGGGCGAGCGCATGCGCCGCCATACGGCAGGGCTGCTGCTGCTGCTGCTGCTGCTGCTGCTGCTGCTGCTGCTGCTGCTGCTGCTGCTGCTGCTGCTGCTCCCCGCCCCTCCGCGCGGCAGCGTCCCCGGCCGGCTCCGCCCCCGGCTCCTCCTCCTCCTCCGGGCTCGGTCTCCGGCGGGTCGGCATCAGGTACTGCGTGAGCGACGCCCTCCCGCGGTTCGAAGACCGGCCTCGCTTCGGCCGCGCCTGAGGGAGGGGGGTGGGGGGTAGGTAAGGATGGGTAGGCACACTCACGAGGTGGCGGGGCGAGGGCCAGGGCAGCCCTCGCGACTCCACGTCAGGAGCCCCACGGCATTAAAAGTGCAAGGCCCGGTGCGCGTGGGTGAGCGGTGTGAGTGAGTGAGTGTGTGTGTGCACTGTCCCTCTCTGTGTGTGTGTGTGTGTGTGTGTGTGTGTGTGTGTGTGTGTGTGTGTGTGTGTGTGTGTGTGTGTGTGTGTGTGTGTGTGTGTGTGTGTGTGTGTGCGTGCGTGCGTGTGTGTGTGTGTGTGTGTGTGTGTGTGTGTGTGAGTGCGTGACTTTAGCATCTCCGCGGGCCCGAGCCTTCAGAGGGGCGCTCGAGCGCGCAGCAGCGACGCGCTCGTCGAGAGTGAGCGCCTCGTCCGCCACGCCGCCGCCACCGGCGCGGCGGCGGCGAGGCTGGTCGTGCGGCTGCGGCGGCGGCTTTTGGACGGGCGCGGCGGGCGGCGCCTTGACGCTCCGCCGCCCGCAGCGGGGCGAGGGCGTGTCTAGCAGCTTTCCGTTGGCGAGGATGAAGGTGGTGGAGTGAAGCTTCGAGGCGGAGGCGATCCGGAGCTGCTCGAAGGCCATGATGCCGGGGTCCGCTGTGGAGGGCAGCACCGCGCGCCGCGCCGCGAAGCCGGTGAACGCGAACGTGACCATGGCAGCCTTGCGCAGCAGCTTCTTCAGCTGCAGGGGAGGCAAGCGCACCCACTCCATCTGCCGCGCGGCGGCGGCAGTGCAGCGCTCTGGCGGCGACGGGCGCAGCAGCGCGTCGATCAGCGCGACCGCCTGGCCCGAGAAGGGGCATGGGCGCTCGAAGCAGCCGAAGACGGTATGCACGACCGAGGTGGAGGGGTCGGCGGTGCACGCGTCGAGGACACGTTTGTACCGCCAGTCGGACACGGCGGCGGCGTCGAAGGGGAAGGAGCCCGAAAGCATCCCGAAGAGGACGACGCCGCTCGACCAGACGTCGGCGGCGAGGCCGTCGTAGCCGCGGCGGAGTGGGACCTGCGGTAGGCACGGCCCTGCTGCTCGGCAAAGATTCGCCGAGATCCGCCGAGATCGGGAGCAGGGAAATGCCGCAGCGCGGGCGCCATGTACGACTTGGAGATATGGGGAGATAGGGGGAGATATGGGAGTATGTGGAGAGATATGGGGGAGATCGCACCTCGGGCGCCATGTACGACTCGGAGCCGCAGACGCGCGTCAAGGGCGCGCGGATGTACGGGATGGCGCTGCCCTCGGCTGCCTATGGGGAGATATGGAGAGATATGGGGAGATATGGGGAGATGTGGGACGGCGCTGCCCTCGGCTCTGCCTTCTCGTAGGCGTGCGCGAGGCCAAAGTCGCACAGCTTAGCGTCGCCATCGGCGGTGAGGACGATATTCTCGAGCTTGATGTCGCGATGCACCACGCCCCGCTCGTGCAGATGCGCCACCGCGGCCATCGTCTGCGCGAAGATCGGCTTGGCCTGCGGGGAAGGTTCCGGGACAGTTCCGAGAAGGCTCTTTGCCGACTCTGCCGCCGCGGGCGCAGGAGCTCGCCTCGCACTCTGTGAGGGCGCCTCGCGCGAGCACAACCTCGAAGAGGTCGCCCTTGGAGGCCAGCTCCATGAATATGTAGCACGTGGTGCCAACCTCCTCGTACCCGCGCAGCCCGATCACGTTGCCGTGGTTGAGGCGGCGCAACATCCGGATCTCGTGCGCGATCGCGCGCTTGCGGTCCATTGAGCCCTGCGTGTCGATCGCCTTGGCGGCGACCACCTGGGGAGCGGGAGGGGGTCGTTGAGAGGTGATCTTTTGATATGTGCTTCGATAGACCTTCGCTCAAGGTCTCGAAGGTAAGCCTGCCGATCTCCGTGTCTACTCGCTGCTCGCATAGCGGAATGGCGGCGGGAGGTGTGACGCACGGCTGCGCAGGAGCAATCGCTTGGCTGGGCGGCGCGGCAGCTGGTGGTGGTGGGAGGCGGTGCCGGGCGGGCTCACCTCTCCAACCTTTGGGTCGATGGCGGCGAGGACTCGGCCGTAGCCGCCGGTGCCGAGCTCGCGTCCGAGCTCGAAGCGGCCGACGCGAGGGCCGGCGTAGGCGCTTTTGCGACCCAGCATGTTCATCATCCTCCTGGGAATCTCACCGAGGCGATCGCGGACCTGTTGTGGCTCGCCAAGGTGGTATTATCCACCGCGATTATCAGCAGGGACTTGCAGGACCTCCTAAAAATCTCGAGGTCTCGAGGTGTTCTCGAGGTTCTCGAGGTGGATATCCTTTGGCCGCGTTGGGTAGCGAGGATTGGTGTAACCCGAGCCACGGAGGCGTGTTTTCTGACGGCCGACCGTCAGTGCACGGAGTTGCCCCTTCTCCGACTGCCCCGGCTAGTTCCCGAGGTCGTCGGGTGTGACCCCTTCGTCCCCCGAGACCTAGCGCGGGTGGGTTGGAGGGGCGTCGGAAAGGCGCGCAAGCACGCCCTACGTCTTCCCCTCCTCCCCATCGGGCCGCATGAGCGGCCACGCCTCGCAGATTCGTTTCCGCGCCTGGGTCAGGCGCGCGGGGCATCCCCCGGGTCGCGGTGTTGTATGCGTCGTTGTGATCTGTGATCTGTGAGGGTCCGCCCGCAGGCGCATTTTGTATACCGAGGCGGTGCCCGGTGCCGAACCTGTCGGACCTTAAGACAGCGTTGTAGATCCCTGGGCGAGGGTGATGGCGTCCCCGTCGGGAGGGGCTGTCTGGCGGAGGAGAGCAACCAGGTGACAACCAGGTGCCCGACGGCGTCCCGCCACATCCGGATGACCTCTCCTCGTTGTGCCAGTCGGCCCCGTTGGGGGTAGACCGCTCGTCTAGCCAATCAGCCTTAAGCGAGCGGCCTGGCCGTTAGAATGGCCGGGTGGAGAGAGGGGCGGAGTCGGCTCGGAAGCGCGACTGCAGCCACGGGGACTGCCCGCCCACTCTCGTCGGGTTGAGGGGAGGACGACTGTCTCCGCAGGACCTCAGTTACGAGCCGTCCTCCCCTCGAGACGCGAGGCCAGTGCACTTGGGGCCGAGCCCCAGAGCGTACACCGTCCCACGCGCCTCTCGCGGCCTCTGGCTGGAGCGGGATCGCAAGCGAGTCCCCCAGGCCGGCGCGCGTCTTCCGAGAGAGGAGCAGGAGCGAGGGACATTCTTAGTAAGCCGGCATGCAGATGCATGCACGGCCGTTCAGAAACTCTCCAGCCGTTGGAATGGCTGCGCTCCCGCCCCTCACGCCGGGTGGACAAGCGGGGGGAGGTCAATGACCTACCTAGTTAGCCGACATGCCAGGCATGTGCGGCCGTTCGGAGTCCTCCCTCGTAGACGTGTGCCGCTGGGATCATTCCAGTACGCCCGAGGGCGACGGTCCCCCGGTAGTAGACGTTGGCGCCGAAGAGGGAGGAGTCGGCCGAAGGACGGGTAGTCGTCGGTCATGCGGGGGGAGGAGGAGTCGGCGAGCAGCAGGGAGGAGAAATGCCTGAGAGGGTGGGGAGGGAGGCGTGAGGCGCGAGGTGAGGGGGCGCGGGGCGCGGGGCGTGCGTGGGACGCGCGGCGTGAGGCGCAGGGCGTGAGGCGGGAGGCGCGGGGCGCTCGAGGTTGGGGCAGGGTGTGTTGTGTGTGTGTGTATGTGTGTGTGTATGTGTGTGTGTGTGTGTGTTGGTTTGTTTGTGCGAGGGCTGGGCTGGGCAGGGCAGGGCGGCGGCGAGCGGCGAGCGGCGTCGGCGAGATCGGCGACGAAGAGAGGCGATGGTGACGTACACGGCGGGAGTGTTCACGGCAGCAGCGCCGGCCCCGCGCAGCGGCGGCGGCGCCCTGAGTGAGGCAGACTGCCCTGCACAGCCTGCTGGGAACGCTCCCGACGAGCGGCGAGCCATGCGGGCCCGCCGCGGCGCGACGCGGGCGGCGAGCCGACACGCGTGTCACAGGCGTAGACAGCACTGGCGAAGCGAGGCGGCCGGCGCCGGCCCCGGAGGCGGCTGCAGTAAGAGCAGCGAGGCAGAAGTCACTGTCCAAGGCGTACTGAGCAGGCTGCCATCGAGCAGCGCGCCATGCGGGCCTGCCGCCGGCGACGAGGTTGGAGAGCCGACAGGCATCGAAGAGGTAGGTACTGAGGAGGGCCATCGCGCCCGAGGCGGTCCGCGCCGGCCCTGCAGGCCGTCTCAGAGAGCCTGGCGAGGCTGTACAGAATGCCAAGAGCATACTGAGCAGGCTGCCGTCGAGCGACGAGCCATGCTGGCTCGTCGGAGGCGATGAGGTCGAGGAGCCGATCGGAGCGTCGCAGAGGCTGCTGACCACTGCCGTTCGCCCTCGGGCCCAGGGGTGGAAGGCAAGCTTCCTGGCGTTTCTGGCGAGCGTCCAGACGTCGCAGAGCATCCGGCAGGCGCGCAGCGACCCAAATTTTTGCTCACCGCACGGCCGTGCGAGCCGTCGGTCGGTGGTGATGGTCGGCGTCGGCGCGCGCCGACCGACGCGGCGGCGGTGGGCGTCATGTGGCGGGCGTGGGAAAGAGCATTGTCCGAATTGCGGCGGACGTCCCTTCGCTCGTTGTTAATAATACAAACCGATGGTCCCTTGTCACAGTCACACACACACACACACACACACACACACACACACACACACACACACACACACACACACACACACACACACACACACACTCACACACACACACACACACACACACACACACACACACACACACACACACACACACACACACACACACACACACACACACACACACACACGCCCCGCTACACTCCCCAGCAGCCTTTCGAGTTCGAACTCTCTGGCGAACTGGTTCGTGAACTGGTTCGGAGAACTCGCGGTTCGTTCGGTTTCGGAGTGGACTGCATCCCCTTGGTTCGCTGCATCGGTTCGATCGTTCGCCCTTTGGGTGCCCGAACCCTCAAACTAGTTCGTGAACTCGAGCCTGCCCTCTTTTCTTTTCTCCTCCCCCCCCCGACTCGTTTCACACCCGCAGGCCGAGGAATCCCAGGGAAGTTCGTCTGAACTGCGAACGAACCGCGAACGAACCGCAATATTTATTTTTTGGCTCTGCAGGCCTGTACGAAGTCCCTGGTTGCCTACTAGAGGCCTAGTACGCCTGGACGCCTCGGGGAGCCCCCGTCTCCCCCATTCTACTCGCCAGTCAGCACGCACGGCGCCCAGGCACCACAGGGCGGCCCTGCTCACAGCGCCTTCATAAGTACATGCGCAAAAACCACGCCAAGTACGCGAAGGCGTGAGCGCAAGGAGGCGTCGAGGCTGAGCGCCCCCCCCCCCCCTCCCCCTTTTCAATGGTCCGCGGCGGGCGGCGGCGCACGCACCGGGGTAGTCGCGCCCGCAGTCCGCTAGATTGCAGACTGTCGCGGACCGACAGAACTGTGCTAGTGCCGCCTGTGTATATGGGCACCCTGAGATTGAGGGCCAGACCGCGTCTCCGCAGCGCGGCTCGTGCGTCGTGGCTGAACTGCACGCCGAACGAACGAAGTTCGATGATTTTCTTTTTCCTAAGTCCCCCGCTATGTGTCGCCGTTTGTCGGGGCACGCTATCCTGTGTAGTCAGGGCAAGTGGGGGCGGGGTGGAGTGCCCAGCGTCTTTACCCTGGGATCTCTCTGCCCAGTCCGGGGGTGCGTCGAACCTTCCATCACCCTGTCGGAAGCGGCGTGCCGGTGGAGGCACGTCCGGGTTTTGGAAGTAAAGATATATTACTTTTTTCCCCTAAGTTCGAGGGGAGTTCACTAACGTTCGTCCGTTTTCGCAGTTCGCGCCTTCCACAGCCGTGGCGGTCCGTTCACTTTCGAGGTTCGGGCTGGGCCCCGCCGGCTGCGTTCGTTCGAGTTCGGAGTTCACGAAATCCGCGCGAACTCGAAAGGCTGCTCCCCAGGCGACCTCGCGCGACGACGCGCTGCCGTAAGTGAAGCTGTCGAGCCCTGCGATGCGCGAGCTGCGCTGCTCAAGAGTGGACCCCTGAGCTACCGCGGACTCGGCAGCGGCCATGTCTCACGCGAGCTGCGTTCCAGCCTTGCTGCCGTCGCGCCCGCCCGCTAGCGGGCCCGAGGCAAGGAGCAGCACGAGGGCGGCGAGGATGTAGATGTAGGGCGGCGACATGAGCAGGTCGAGCAGCTCCTCCGGCGAGAGCGTCGTCTCCTCGCCGTAGTAGCCCGAGGCGGGGATCATCAAGTGCGCGAAGTCTGTGCCCGGAAACATGGTGTAGGGCTCGCCGAGCGAGAAGTCGGAGGTGAAGGCGTCGCTCAAGGCCGCTGGGTCCTGAGGGCGCGCAGGGAAAGGCTCGGGCCCCGCGGGAGGGGGGAGAGGCGGGGGAGGGGGAGGGGGAGGGGGGGAGGGGGGTTGGCGGGCGTGCCTTTGGGAACATCATCAGGTGCGGCCCCGACTCGATCCACTGATCCGGGCCCGCCTCCTCCTTTGAGGTGACAAACGGGTCCGTGTTGTCGAAGCCCAAGTCGCCTGTCGCGGCAAAAGGAAGGGAACCAATAGGCGAGGAGGTCCGGAGGCGCGGGTC